TTTTAAAGAATTTTAACTTCAAACTAAGAAATATGTAATTTCGTTGAAAAGTAAATTAAAGCATTTGACATCAATTCAAACGTCAACCAATTATGAACATTTGTAAATAGGTTTAATTCAGTAAAAATCCTTGAACTTTGCAAAAATAGTCATCATCATCCCTCTACTGAAAAACAGTTCATAATAATCCTTAAACTTTCATGAGAAGGCCAAGTGTCATTCTTCTGTCAGCGGGCATCTTGACTCCGTCCCGATTGAGTTCAATGGTGTTTCCAATGTGGCGTAATTGATGTGGCACCAACTTGGACCTTTTTTTATTTTACCTTAAGCGTTAATATAGGAATAATTTTTTTATATTATTTTTTGATATAATTTTATGTATCACTTAAATTATTAATTATTTTCATTCATTTAAAATATATGATATTTAATCCATTTAGCATTTACTCATTTGAGTAGAAACAGATTTTTTTTGGGGCAATGCTACAAGGGCCAAATCGGTCTTCCAAGCCAATTGGCGCCTATAGTTTTTTTATTTTTGCTTCTTAAATATAAAATTTTAAATTTTACTTTTTGGTCTACTAATTTTAATTTTTAAATTATTAAATACTTAAATTTTTAAATATTAAACCTTAAACCTTGAAATTATAAACACTAAGACATCATTAATCACTAAATTTGAAAAAAATATAAACCCCAATGTTAAAAAATATATAACTCAAAAAATCTAAATTCTAATTTCATAAAATATAGAATTCAACAAATTTAAACCTAGACACCCTAAATATTGAACCCTAAAAAATCTAAACTCTAACTAACATCCTAAACATTGGCTAATTTTATAATCCAAACTACACTAAATTACAAAACAAAAATTATTTTCTTTGTAGTTTTTTGTCTTCAAATATATAAAATGAATTATTTCTCTAGTTTCAGATTTGGCTAATTCCATATATATTTTGTTCAATCCGGTTTGATTTGTTCTCCGATTAGTTCTCCACATTTTCACTTGAAGCATGAAGTTTGAGTTTTTTGGCATTGACACTAATGAAGAATGATGTTGGATTAAGATCTGGGTATGTGGATTAGAGGGAGAAGGCAAAGATCTGGGTTCTTGCTGGAAAAATTGATAAATTGCAGCACTGATGAGTTCTTTATTTTTATTTTTTCATTTTTTTGTTTTTAATGAATTTATAGAGGATTGGGTTTGTAACAGATTTTTTTTTTTTTTTTGTTACTTGGAAGTCTCACTAGGGGTTTCATCTTCTCAAGTTTAATTAGTTTGATCATTTGTTTTTAATTTAATTTGTTAATCTTAATTAATTTATTAGAAGTAAATTAATGTTATAACCTTTATTAATTAATTAGTAGTTTAATAGATTAAAATTTACGCTTAAGAAATTTAAGTAATTCTTAAAATATCATTTTACAATTTTACCCTTTAATCCTTATTATGTATAAAGGTAAAAAAATGTATTTCCAATGCAATATAACCCTGTTAATGCCATTTTAGCATTTTCTTAACACCGTTAGTGTCATGTCATCACTTCCATTAACGGATGTTAAGGAAGAGACCACAGTGGCCTCTTCACAAAAGTTCAGGGATTATTATGAATTTTTTTCTGTAGAGGAATGACTAACTTTTATAATAAAGTTCGGGGATTTTTAATGATATTAAGCCTTTGTACATATTATATTTTTTAAACGGAAAAAAAAAAAAAAAACAAAACAAAACAAAGCAAAATTTATATTAAAAAATAAGAATATAACAGCATGTTTGGAATACAGGTTAGGATAGGACTGAACAAGACAAAAATAATGGGATAAGACAAGATTGGATTGGAAAGAAAATACAAGTCCCATCTCATGCAACTATCACGCATAATCCGTATACTTAGATGCAGTATAAATTGTCACCTGAAATGCATGCTCCAAAATTTAAATTCTTGTTCCTGGACACAACCTTATATAGTCTAGGAGTTTAAAGGTTATCAGACATGTAAGCTAGCGCTTCGAAGTATGAAAACTGAGATATGTTAAAAGAAAAGAAGTATATAACCTAAAATATATATTTCAAATTGATACAAACATAATGATAATACACAAATTTTTTGTAGTTCACAAATATTAGAACAATGCCAAATATATCCTACAAGGTAGGCTGGTTCCTAATTAAAGCATTATCTACCAAGAATAGTGACTTTGTAGGAGTAGGACATGTATTAAGATTAAAGGAAATAAGAAGAGGGAAGCAAGAAGTCAAACCTTCCCTGTTGAGATATTCAAGTGGACAGAACCATCCTTTGAGCCAGTAAGGGCAAGAGTTGAATCAGAACTTATGGCCAAGTATGTTAGCCCTTCGATATGATATGGATGACCTATTAGAGAAAAAGATTCATTATTGGAAACTGCAAAGAAATGAAGAACAGTATGGCAAATTAATATGACAACTTCTTTCGATAAGTGACTAAGAGTCAAGCCCAGTTCCCCTCGGCATAGTTGCTCACCTTGACTATGGTTGTTCTGTTTTACAGTGATCACAGCAAAGCTAAATGTTGATAACTTAAGAAGCGAAGACCTTAACCAGTCAACTAGTCACAGGTAAGTAGAAAGGTCAAGGTTCATGCTATTCTCACGTTCAAGGTTCTGTATTGAGAATGTTTCTTCATGCTAAGGTAAGTTTTACATCTAGAGTTTTAATACATGCCATACTTTTTTCAATCTTTATTCTTTGATTTCTTCAGTTCAAAATTCAAACTTCATTCACTATTGAAAAATGAAATAGAAAAGGACCATATGAAAATCTTGAACTTCCCCTTGGGGAATATCCCAACAATTAGAGCTTGAGACATCTAATTGGAGGTCTAGGGTTAGAACCTTGGGACTGATGGGAAGAAATTTGCAAAAAGAGACAACTATTCCTTCTGTATAGCCTACTATCAAATGTATCAAAAAAGAAAGAAAGAAAGAAATAGAGAAAAACTCAAACTGGATAGCAAACAAATACCTTTTACAACATGAATGCTTTCACCACTTTTTGGATTCCATATTCTCAAGGATGCATCATCACATCCAGTACAGATTGTTTTACCTTAAGCACCAGAAAAGCAAACAAGTAAAAAGAATGCCCATTGAAGTTTCCTCTACAGAAATAGAGCAGATAAAAAAAAAAAAAAAAAAATCTAAGAGGGAGACTAAGGGCAGTTAGTTCCATCAGGGGTAAAATTACCACAAGTCACAGAGGCACCATGACCTGAATACATGTTGAGATAGGCACCTGTGTCTGCATTCCACATCCAAACAGTGCAATCCTCAGAACCAGCCAAAATAAGATGCCCTCTTGGATGCCACCTGACCCACTGAGAAGTAGTATAACCCATTGTTACAAGGCTTATAACAAGTATGTAAAGTATTTTATTAATTAAAGCACTGTATAGTTATACCTCAATGCCTCCTCTTGGACCATCAAGTCAGTGTATGAGGTTTCCGGATGACCCCCAAATCTGAACAAGTCCATCAAACCCTCCAGATGCAAGCAGCTGCCCATCAGAACTAAAGGTTAAACTAGAGACAGAATCTCCATGACCTGCACAAAAATTCTAAAGAGGATTAGTTAATAAGAAACTAAGATTGAGGCATCAAACTCAAACATTTTTTTTCTTTATCCCTTTTACTAATTAGGATTGGCAAAAACTGCTGGCATGAACAGAAGAATACAGCAAAAGGCTAAGGTCTAGAATGAGAGTATACAGTGCCAGCTTTGGACCTGTGTACCTTGGAGTTCAGAAGCCCAATCTCCTTCACCAATCCTCCAAAGAAACCCTTTATCATCTCCACCACCAGCTGCAACTAGTGTAGGATGTGTTGGGCTACAAGTAACTGCATAAATCTCACCTGTGCAGAGAAAGTGAGAATCTTCTAATTCCAGGACAATAACACAATCAATATTGATTTGCAAAAGAAACAATTCACCGTGAAAGCTATTTCTGTATTCCAAATCTACATCAGGTTTAAAATATCAATCATAATGGCACCTTATATCATTTCTCCTCAGAAGACATAATGCAGTTTGCATACTCATTATTGTCAAACAACAAGAAAGTTGTAGAAGATACAGTATAATACAGGTATGTCAAGCTCTTTTTTTTTAAAAAAAAATATTAATATCATAAAACTGAGCACCTGTTAGTTAAATAAATAAGTGCAAGTAGTCTCCTTGATAAATAGAGCAAGAAAAAAAAAGAGCATAATTTCAACCAAAAAAAAAAAAAAAAAGTTTCACACTTTCCTTTTTCTAAGAAAAAACTGAGAAATTTACCAGTGTGACCAGTGAATATGTGCATTGAGTCATCAGCTTCCTCTGCAAAACAGCAGAGCAATTAGAAGGAGAAGTAATTAGCTCAATAAAGACACAATATTCAATTCCAAAACAACACATACCGTCGACACCCATATTTTCAGAGTCAGTGTTCTTCATCCTCAACATCAGGAAGATCTGAATCCAAAGAACAAGAAAGATATCAATTTAAGAATCATAAGAGGAAAATGTATGCATCCAAGTGGTGAGAGAAAACCTCCCCCTGGTTGTCGTTTTCTCGAGCTGGGCTGTTCATCTTCTCTTTCTGACCACCACCAAAACCAACACTGAAAAAAGAGCCGTAAAAGGTTTTTCGAGGTTTTTTTTCCTAAATTACCAGGGCTTCCTTGCAATTTCTATTTAAATAGTCCTTGAAGAATTTACTACATAACAATTTGGTACCCAAACAAAGCAAGAGAATCAAAATCCTCCAATGATAGGGGAGACAGCGACGCGTTTTATATTTGGTCAGCCTTTCCATCCATGCGTGTTTAATTCACCCAACAACTTGATAATGGGATATAAGAAATCTTTGTACATAATCATTGTTTTGTGCCGTCTAACATTTAGTGATTTAGTCGTTATATTCCTTAAAAAGAAAGTGGTAAGACATAAAGTTCTAAGTTTTATGTTCAAGTATTAATAATTGTCCGTCCAAAAATTTCCTAAGTTAAGGAAAAAGGAGGAAAAAAAAAAACCATTGTTATGTGTATCGGTAGCAGACAATGCCAACCTATATAGTTAGGTCTCGAAGCAGACTTGTGTAAAGGGCAGAAGAAGGCTCTATTGCCAGCTAAGAGATGGTTATGGCACTACAAGAAAAGAGCTTATTAT